TTTTTTTTTTTTTTTTCCTGCTACACCTGGCTAAGCTGCTTCGCTTCTTTTTCTTCTTGTTTACTACTGGTGGTTGGCTTTGGTCGCAGTACCGCCACCTTCTGCTCTGGAGTGTAAACGCTTCGCCTATGAGAAAAAGGAGCAGCGCATGAACCGAACGAAACACACGCGAATCGAACCGAGACAGTCGAACCGAACGGTTCGGACGGTTTTCATAAACCGGTCCATCCCTAATAAACATATTACCGCAAGTGCAATACATGGAATAGCACACTGAAGATAAAGTAGATCAATAGAGTTTTTAGAGATCAATAGAAAAAGAGATCAATAGAGTGAACAAAAGTAAGGTAAAGAGTAAACCTAGGGTGGAAAATACATTTTTATGACTTTTTAAGGCTTCCAAATTAGACTGCTCATGACTTTTTATAACCTTTCTTTCAACTGTAGTTTAAGATGTAAAGCAGAATGCTTAGAAATCACTGTCAGCACTTCTGTTTTCCCAATAAATTAAAAATGCGCAAAGCAATGTAAAGTGACAAACTTGAATATCTACAACAAATGTATATAAATAAAGCCTATTTTAACTACATATTGTTTTTAAAATCCTTTAATAAATATAAATACTAAAGTCTTACCTCCATTAATCCCGATCTCTGTTTTGTCCAGAGGAGTGATGATGTCATTGTTATCACCAGAGAGCTGAAACACACATTCATATTTGGTCCAGTCCTCAGATGATGGAAGTTTCAGGTCAACGTTCATCTGGAAGGTTCCATCATTGTTAGGGAGGATCTCTCCTTTCTCCACATCATCATGGATCTCTGCTCCATCTTTCCTCCAGAACATTTCTGCTCTGTTGGGGTAGAAACCTGTAGCAAAGCAGCTGATTGGAGAGGAGGAAGACTTCTGGTGGATGGAGACTGAGGGACGATCTGGAGATGGAGACAATTAGAGTTTAGATATAAAATGTTAAGGGATTGTCTAGTTAAAGCAGATTGGTTGAAATGTTTAAAGCTGAATAAAAGCCACAAATAAAACTGGGTCACATTTAATTTTAATGTAGTGAAGTAAAACAAAATTCCCATTGGACATTTCTAGTAAAATTAAACATTCAAATAATCAGTTAAAATAAAGAAAAATCAGGAAAAGTTTCTCTACCTGTTCTCATCAGAGAGCTCCTCCCATAGTTTATATACTTCTTCAGCCACTCAGGACACACTTGGTTGAGGTAGTTCTTAAGGTACTCCAGCTCAGCTCTGTTATTGTTCCACTGGTTTGTAGTAATTTCAGCCTGTTGTTTTGAAGCAATCCAGGTGTTTGTCTTCATGTCCAATATTAGCCAGTCTTCCCCATCATAGCCATACTGTTTAAAGCCAGTAACCTCTTCAGTCTCATCATCCCATTCACAGCCGTACATTAACTGCATAATGTGAACACCTAGAAGACAGCAAATACAATATCACTGTAGTTTTCTCCATCGTCTCTGTTATCTATTTTCCTTTTTAAGTAAAACACCTTAAAATATCTTACAGAAAACCAAGATTAACTGCTGAGAAAATTGATATAAAATTTCATCATGTGCAGATTTACTGCCTTCAGTTTTTATTGACACTGATTAAAGGACTGTGACTAAATCTGACCCACACTGGGCGTTCGCAGGCATTGTGGAAAAATATGCTTTGAACAAGTTAACCTCATCATCCATTTAGTTTTTTGTTCATTGCAGCTTTAGTCTCTCTTCACCATCGCCCATCAAGGTCCTCAATAAAACAGAACATCTGACCCAGGATCTCCTCTATTTGCCCCTCAAATACTGTAGATGGTCTTTCTGGGAAGTCTATATTGAACTGTTTAGACGACATTAAAGCCTGGCTGGCCCTGAATTTATTTTCATTTTAAGGCACAGAAAACTGAGGTTATAATGTTTGGGCCTAATCTCTCTTGTGACTCCACTACTATAGACCTAGGACCCCAGACACTAGGGCTGCAACAACGAATCGATAAAATCGATAAAAATCGACTTTTAAAAGCGTTGGCAACGAATTTCATCATCGATTAGTTGTGTCGCG